TAAGACTTCACCTTGCAAAAGCTTACTGCACTTTGTTCTCTGGTACACATGTAGCATTCTATAGAATACATACAGGGCACATACAGGGCACAAACCAAATGTCCATAAAATCATCACTTGATCACTTGATCTCCTGTTACACATTGATTTGCTCGAGTGGGCTCCAGTAAAGTCTCCATTCATTCCTGTTGTGTGCTAGCGTAGCCCAATGGCATCTGCTCGTTCTAGGAACTTGAAGAGACTCAAGATGATCATTCAGGGTTTTGACGAAGAAGTCTGACCATCTGACTATAAATTCATAACTATAGAAATTATATCAAGTATCTTTTTAGACTATCATGTCAGAAAGTAGGAACCAACTATAAAAAAAGAAAATCAGGGTAGCTCTAACATTTGTGAAGAGAGAAATATACTATTAACTTTGGAACTAGGAGGAAATCAAAGGAGAAATATAACATCTCAGAAATAATTAAGAATGAAGACAAATTATCAGAACATAGAATATAACATAGGAAAAAACAGTACTAGGGGAGTTTATAGCAATGCAGGCTTACATAAGTAAGCTCTGTGTAACTAATAAGTAATCCAAATCAAGAAACATTAAATAAAAGAACCCATCCTAGAGCTGAGGCAATAGCACAGCAGGTAGGATGTTTGCCTTCACGCGGCCGACCCGGGTTCGATTCCCAGCATCCAATATGGTCTCCCAAGCACCACCAGGAGTAATTCCTGAGTGCAGAGCCAGGAGTAACCCCTAAGCACTGCTGGGTGTGGCCCCAAAAGCAAAAATAAAATAAAATAAAATATAAAAAAAGAATCCAAACTTATGTAAAGAAATAATAAAAATTAGAGGAGAGCTGAAATTCTGTATGTTTCTCCACCATCCCAGGTGTGGCTTACCTCATGCTTATATCACTGAACCTATTCCAGAACATGAGGCATAATCCCTTCCTGGCAGGAGGCTCCGGGCAGCCCCCACACCCTACCTGAACCATATTAAGGGCCCACATCACAACTCCTTTATTGGCGTTTCTACTCAACAAATGACATGCTGCTCACAGTTGTTCTTCCTGTCATTTTGTGAGGATAGGCAGACAAGACAGAGAGCAATCTCCAGCTCCATTTCTCAACATCTTCCCAGGGGCTACGAAGCCTCATACCCACCACAGAGAGAACACTAGAAAACCAACGAGTAAAACAGATCAAAGCCCACCAAAGCTCAATGGGTGAAAATAATATCAACATAGACATAAACAACACCAGCAAATCCTCAGCAGTGCTTTAGTGACACTATAATAAGAATATTCAATGAGTTAAAAGAGATGATAACAGGTAGTTCGCAAAGCACAAAAACTCGTGAGAGTCAAAATGAGAAAAAAAGCTCCTACAGTAAGAAATGACAGAAAGGAAGAACGTAGTAGGCTGCGTAAAACAGTTTATAGAGCTCTGGATGGCAGATGCTGAACAAAGGATCAAGGAACTCCAGGATGAGAAGGAGGAAACTCTCAGGACACAGCAGAAAGTGGGAAAGAGTCTGTAAAGAAATTAACAGCATACCAAAGAACTGTGGGATGAGTTCAAAAACAAAAACAAAATCATCAGATTTCTATAAGAACAGGAAAGAAATAATACAAAGAAGCAACAGTTAAAGAAATCATCCATAAGAATTGTTCGCAGTTAAGAATCACAGACACCAAGATCCATGAGACCAGAAGGGCCCCAGTGAAAACAGACTAAACTAGAACTCCAAGATACATTATGCTCACGTTATAAAATCCAAGATAGAGACAGAATATTGAATAAAGAAAGATCAAAAAAGGAACTTATATATAGCTAGGAGGTACAGCCAATCTATCAAAAGGGACTCTATGAGCCAAAAGAACATGGAAGAATATAGTAAAAAAAAAAACTCAAACAAAGAGAAATCTCATGAAGAATACTCTATCCAGCTAGATTGTCACTCATATATTGAGGAACTGTACAAAGCTTCATGAAAGGCAACAGCTTAAGGAATTTACGGCCTTGAAGCCAATTTTGGAAGAAACATTAAAAATCTTTTTTTTATTAATTTTTATTAGTGAAACACCATGAGGTACAGTTGTAGACTTACAAAATTTTTGTGCATGGGTTTCGATTATACAATGATCAAATACCCAACCCTCCACCAGTGCCCATTTTCCATCACCATGGATCCCAGTATCACTCCCACCCCTATCCCCCCATCCGACCCTGCCTCTGTGGCAGGGCATTAAAAGACCTTCTTTAAAGGACAGGAGAAACTTTCCCTCATGTGACATTGAGTGTGGCACTCACTACTAGTGCATGTTTTTCTTCTGCTATATTAATAAATGTAAAATTATGTGGCAATCCAGTAGAAAATAATTAATTATGTAATTAAGTAATTAATCATCACAAATGAATACTATGGGTTTATTTTCTGATGATTCTATTTGTCATTCCCTTAAATTTTATGGTACTAAGTAATATGAAATAAATTTGTTGTATGCTTGCCAATCAGAAAGTATGGAATTGTGAGGAACCTGGGTATTGGTGGAGGGAAGGGAAGATTGGTGACAAGATTGGTGTTGAAATGCTGTATGATTGAAATAACTTTATTATGAACAACTTTGTAAATCATGGTGTCTCGATATATTTTTTAAGAGAAGAAATTAGAGAAGAAATCTATGAAATAATTCAAGAAAATAATACAAAATGTAAATAAAACAAGAAGCATTTTTATAAACCAAACAAGAGTGATAGATCTTGAGTTAGAGCTAGAATGACTGGGGAAAAAAGAGAAAAGTCTAATAAGTCATATAGAAGATGAAAAAAAACAATACAATACAAAATATACTTAATAAATTCAAAAGACGGATAATAAGTGGTTAATATGAACAGCTTTATGTCACTACCTTGGAGAAACAAAGAATAAGAGATATTTTCAGAATCACACAACTCCCTAAGAATGATTTTGAATAAAGAACAAAGAAAAAAAAGAATAAAACAAAAGTCTAAGTCTCATAAGTGGGCTAATAAGTGAGTCCTACCCTGTCTTCAAAGACATTTTTTACTTATACTCCTAAAGTTCTCCAGATTAGAAAAAATGAGTATAATTCCCAACAGTTCTTTAAAGACATTATCCTAATTTCAAAGTGAACAAAGATATCACTAGAGAATTGTACACTAATATTCCTGATGAATATCAATGCAAATATCCTTAGAAAAATCTTAGAGATCCAAATCCAACAAAATATTAAATATATACGTGGTAATAATGTGGGATTCATTACAGAGATGAAAGAATGTTTCAATATACAATTATCAATCAAGGTATAAAATCTTATTATCAAAAGGAATATAAAATCATATGAGCATAGCAATATGCTCAAAGAAATCTTATGACCAGATTCAACATTCATTTGTAATGGACATATACAACAAACTCACAGCAAGCATTAGACTGAATATTTATTGAATTAATGGACAATACATAAACAATCATCCTTCTTAATTTTAGAACCTAAAATGCATATTTAGGCAGCTGTATTTTAATAATTTAAATAAACAAACAAGGCTAGGATGGTGTTTGACAACACAAGCACAGTACTTTATGCTTCCTTCAAGAAATCATGGAGAAAAATGCAAAGAAATTTTATTGTCCTGCATATAATCAAACAAATGTTTTGCTCTAAAGATGGCTATGTAGCTGTTGAATTTAACATTGCATATTTGTATAGTATTTCTGGTTAAATTTAGATGTTATTATTAACACTAAAATATTTTCATATGAAGAAAAGAATGGAAACAAATTTCCAAAATTAAGAAAAATATGCTATCGAAATTTTGCCTAGTTTAGACCATTTTTACAGTTTGAATATTATTTAATTGGCTTAAGTTAGTTCTCTGTTCATAAACACATTTTCAAATTTTAAACCATTTGCATAGAGCTCTCCTATAAATTTTAATACCACATATGACAAGATGCTGATTTTAGCAATTAATATCTACGGACCAACTTTAAGCTGTAAAATATGCAAAACAAAATTTAAGTAATATAAATTAAATCCAATTATACTTTTCAGAAAATTCATGTATGCTCAAGTATTTAACTTTGAACTTCATTAAGACAAATAATGCAGAAAATGTATTCCACTATCTAACAAGTAGACAGATTAAAATTCATGTTTATAAATCTCACACTTTTAATGTAATTTCTTGAATAATTTAGATGATTTATATCTATACTCTATATTGATCAGATTCTCATTAAGATAAGAATAACTCATTCTACAAATTATAATGGTTTCATGTGTTACATAAGTTTACACACACAAGAAATCAGTATTAGGTAAATTTCTCACAGAAAATTGTATTTTAAGTTATTTCAATCTTAATACTAAATTATTTATGTGATTTTATATAATCACAACTTTTTACTTTCTGTTTTTCTAAATAAATGGAATAAAGTAATATCTATGTAATAAAAAATCTCTAAATTCTTACTGGTAAGATCACCTAAATTTATAAACTTTATTGCCCAAAAGCCTTGAACATATAATTTCTGCCTCAAATTTTAAAACATTGAGAAATTCCAAAATAGTAACATTCTATTATGCTATTCAAAATTTATATTCTCAGTAAACATTTTTTAGGCAATTATTTACATAGAGATGATAGATTCCTGGTATTATATCATAGAGTTCTGTTAAGTCCACATACTGTAATTCTGGCACTTTCTAGCAGATATTTGTAATCAGTGAATTTATGAACTCAAGTATAATAACAGCAAAATATGTAATTTGGTCTCATAATAACATACTCACGACAGCAATAATGACCATCAAAAGAAAATATAACTAGTTTTCTGATAATCATATCTGAGATAAATGGACTATACCAGGAGGTCTAGCTAAATATTAAAAAAATACTTACTGTCCCAAATTAAACATCTACACAGTTCTAAATAAAATACTATAGAAAAATCTAAACAAAACACTCACCTACTGTCAGCTGTCCAGTTAACTGCCCCATGTGATTTCTTGCATTCATTGTTACATTCCTGTCAGACTGTAAGACCAGTGGACTATCCTGGGAAACATGTATAAAATAAAGAAGTAAGATTTAAAAAAAGAAATTCAGTCCAGATTTAATCATTAAAATCATAGCTATTTTTTCCTGGGTATTAGCAAGATTCTTTATTTACATTACTTAATTCTACAGCCCAGGTAATGAACAGTGTAGAAAAAACAAACAAACAAACAAAAAGAAATCCATCAAGATAACTACGAGAAACTAGAAATGTTACTGCTGTGTAAACTGGCATTAACCCTTCTCTCTCTACTTCGAGCATATCTCATCCCTACTCTCAGCACCTTCACTACAAGTGCCTTCCTTTAGAGATATTTTAGAACATATACCAAAGAGGAAGTCTCTCTTGAAATTTAACTTGAAAGCTTTAGATTTCAGCTATCTAAAGATAGCTAATATGCTATCCTCAAAACTGATGAGATTTGCCATACCCTTAATCTCCAGTTATTTTTTTCACAGTCATTATAATATGACAAGCACATTTTATTCATACACGCATATTTATGTATATATGTATCTAATTTTTTCCTTTTAAGAATTCATGTAATATTTTCAAAACTACTAGTGTAAAAATTTTATCCTGAAATAGTTTCCAAAAAGCATAATACTTTTCTGACAGAAGAACAGAGAAAACAATTACAGTATTTTTTTCTAGATGATGATACAGTATCACAATTGCTTTTTTTCCCCATTTGTCTTGGTTCTGGGACCACTCAGGGATTTCCTGGTGGTAACTGGAAGACCATGAGGCACTAGGCATGAACCAATGCTGTCTAGAACAGGAGGTAGCAAGAAAATAGATTATTTTCAGAAACATAGTTTATATATTGTAGTGGTAAGTTTTTTTAAAATTGCGAGTCACTTTCAATATTTAGAGTTGTGGACATATTCATCTAGGCATTTTCGATGTCAAACAATTAAATTTTCATAAACTATAAAGTATACGCTAAGCCCGGCAAGCTACCGAGAGTATCTCGCCCCAGTAAATCCATGAACAGCAGTACAGTGCTACTCTTCTAGTACTGACTAGATGTTTACTTTTATCATTGCTAGCATTTTCCACTGAAACAATGTCTCTGTGTTTGTTTGTTTGGGGGCCACACTAGGCAGTGCTCAGAGCTCACTCCTTTTTCTGTACTCTCTCCTGGTAGGCTCAGCAGACTGAGTTTCTCAGGAGACTCAGGAGAGTGCTGGGATCAAACCTAGGTCAGTCATTTTCAAGACAAGTTCCTTACCTGCTATACTGTCTCTCTAGACTCAGAAATACTGTTTTGAACTAAGTACCACTGCCTTACTAATGTACATATTAGGTTTTTGAAATCACCTGACTCAGATGAGTAATTCTCAGCAGCCTAATTATTCATCTTCTGTCCTAAAAAATAATCTGTAGCACTGTAGCACTGTCCTCCTGTTGTTCATCGATTTGCTCAAGCAGGCCCAGTAACATCTCCATTGTGAGACTTGTAGTTACTGTGTTTGGCATATCGAATATGTCATGGGTGGCTTGCCAGGCTTTGTTGTGCCGGCGAGGTACTCTCGATAGCTTGCCGGGCTCTGAGAGGGGCGGAGGAATCATACGCAGGTCAGCCGCATGCAAGGCAAATGTCCTACCCGCTGTGCTATCCCCCCAGCCCCTAAAAAAATAATAAGACTGGGCTGGAGCAATAGCACAGCGGGTAGGGCATTTGCCTTGCACGCAGCTGACCTAGGTTCGATTCCCAGCAACCCATATGGTCCCCCGAGCACTGCCAGGAGTAATTCCTGAGTGCATGAACCAGGAGTAACTCCTGTGCATCGCCGGGTGTGACCAAAAAAACAAAAATAATAATAAAAAATATAATAATAATAAGAGTGATTAATTACAAATTTCTTATTAATTCAACAAATATTTATATTGAGTCCTCACTATGTGTTTTTAAGCACTGTGACTAAAAGCAGTAAGGATATATGTGAGTCTCGGTCCTCCCGTTGTTCATCGCTTTGCTCGAGTGGGCCCAGTAACGTATCCATCGTGAGACTTCTTGTTACTGTGTTTGGCATATTGAATACCTTACGGGTAGCTTGCCAGGCTCTGCCATGTGGGCGAGATACTCTCCGTAGCTTGCCGGGCTCTCTGAGAGGGGCGGAGGAATCGAACTTGGGTCAGCCATATTGGCTGCATGCAAGGCAAACGCCAGAGTGACAGCACAGGAGGGAGGGTGTTTTCCTTGCATGCGGCTGACCGGGGTTCGATCCCCGGCATCCCACAGGGTGCCCTGAGCACCACAGGAGTAATTCCTGCATACAGAGCCAGGAGTATCACAACAGTGACCAAAAAAGATATATGTGAACAAAATTTATTTGTCTTCTTACAAGATCTTTGAAAAAATTAATTGAGAATAGGAATTTGGCATTTGAATAAATCTCAGTTACAGTCAACAATTTTGAGCAGAGACAGTACTTTCCTCAAACATGATCTATGTACTTTCCTATAAAATTCTGCAGTCTGTGGCCAGTCTTGCAGAAATATCCTGCTGATCTGAGGATAAGCTACTACTGCCTAAGATACAGTATACTGGTTCACGTGGTAACAAAGAATAAATGTTGGAACATATTATTTTTATAAATTATGCCTTTTATCTATCTCTAGTGGCTTCTGGAGTATTTTGAATATTTTTTACAGGTCCATATGTGTAAAAGTTTAAAAACTGCCCCTCTAGAGGTCATAAATATTTATATTTCAGTGATCAAAATATTGACAAGATTTGCCCTCCCAGAAGTTACAATGTAGATACTTAAATTCTATAAAAATTCCTCTGAAATCTATTTTGCAGCATGTCACTTCTCTTGTACAGTAAATAACTGTTATTAAAAATGTCATACAAAAATGGTTTCAATTAGGATATAGATTTTTTTTGTTTTGATGTGCAGAGTAAGAAGTATAAGCTTTCTCCCTAAAGCTAATTCTGATCCGTTATAACTGAATTAAAAGCATTAAACAAGGAATCATAGACACATGTGTAGGCACAGGCATGTACACACATTTCAAGTGAGACATAATCTTTAATAGTTATGGTCCATATCTTGAAGGGTGAATTCACTCTGCAAAGTGAGACTTACTTGTACCAAACACAGTACTGTCAATCTCATTTTATTTTATCACAATTTAGTTACATAAAATGTAGATTGTGCAAATAATTAAAAATAAAATTATTTTATTAACTTGAAATTGCACTCCTAGTTACCTATCTAAAGAACACAAAACATGTTCAAAAACTGTATACAGAAATATGTTCATTTGAGTAAGGCTTATATTAAGCAAAACCTAAGTGCCCAATGACAAATAAGTAGAAAATGAAGCTATGGTCTATATGTATACAGAATGAAATACGATAAGAATGCTAAAATTTAGCTTTTTTATCTAATGTAAATGAAAGTGCATGTTAAGCAGAATAAGTAAGAAGGAAAAAAATCAGGTGGTACCATTATTAGTTTATATATAAGGAAACAAAGCAAAAAATAGACAATGTCCAATGACAACCAATCTCTATACTCTAACAAAAAAATCTGAAAATTACAAAGCTGGGGGTGGCTGACTAGAAGAAACCTGTGAACAGTGTAGAGTGATATTGGCACTGTGACGGTGAGTGTGAATGGAAAAATTACTGTTCTACTGAAACAGATAAAACATATATTCCTGTGAATCATGTTACCAAAGTAAATTGAATATATTAAAATAAATAAGAATGCATATAAATGAAATGAAATTAAAATACTGATTAATACATATCATTTATGCTGTTCAAAAATATGGTTTTTCAATGGAATATGATGCTGGAGACATTAATTTGGAAATATTTAATGCATTAAAACACATACATTGTTCCCTTCCAGCACAAAATTCAAATTTTGTGTACAGTATAGACTCAGGACTAAGAACTATTTGCCTACAATTATAATCAGAAGAAGTAAACAGGACATAAAAACACAGAAAAGATTCTGTATCACACTGGTAAATTAAATACTTGCAACCCAGGAACTAAAGTTCTTTTAAAAGTTTGAAGATTAAATAAAATTACATTGAATGTAAGAAAACACAAAAACCTATAAAGCACCTGTAGTTCAAACCATCTTAAAATTATGTAGTTGACATATCATTTACAATATTTCAAATCATGAGCAGTACTCTACACAGTTATCACCAGTGAGGAGGACCATAGTTGCTCTCCTGAAAGATATTACTAATGACCACTTTCTTCAATGTATATATAATATATTTTATATGACATTTCTTTGAATTTATATCTTTATATACATATTTCCAGGTAAGAGTTTTAAGTACATTGACAGAAATATATAATTTCATAATTAATCTATAGTGCCCCTAAATATTTTTTATGATATTTGTATACAAATATTAACACATTTCACCTAAACAAAATATTTATTAATTCCAGCAGGTAGGGCATTTGCCTTGCAAGTAGCCTACCCGGGTTCGATTCCTCCGCCCCTCTCAGAGCCTGGCAAGCTATTGAGAGTGTCCTACCCACACGGCAGAGCCTGGCAAGCTCCCCATGATGTAGTCGATATGCCAAAACAGTAACAAGTCTCTCAATGGAGACATTACTTGTGCTCACTTGAGCAAATAGATGAACAACAGAAGGATAGTGCTACAGTTCTACATTCTCAATAAAATATAACATATATGGTACTAAACATGGTTTTATTTTTACAGTTTCATTTTATAGCTCTTGTATACATGCAAAAATTAACAAAAATTCTTTTATTATTCAACATATTTCACTTTGGTGAACTCATACCTACAGTTTCCTGATTGAATTTCTTATCCACTTCTCAACCTGAGAAATTTTAAGTCCCAGCTCAAAGTTTGTATCTCTTGATAAAAGTTTCCACTACCTCTAGTGTTTTACATGTACTCCCCTCCTTCAGAGTTCATCTAAAGACTTGTCACAGGCTCTTTGCCTTGACCACTCATTTATTGACAACAAACATGAGACTGG